TTATAGAAAGAGTTCGTTATAAATAGAGAGTCGATTGTATTCTTAAACCTGTATAAACAATTATTCCCTCTCCCCACGTAAAAATAAATATAATTCTGCGCGTAAATATACTTTGTGAACCTCAAATTTTAACGCGTATCGGTATTTTGTACCACATCTTTATTAATCTATATACGCCAATATTAAAATATAATTAATTAATATAAATAATAGAATCAATCTAATTGTAAAGACTGTTACATCAATATTAGTCAACTACATATCCAGAATCCTAATTAGTCAATTAAAATGTGGTTGCCACAAATAACAGTTGTTAAAATACATTTATTCCAAATAATATATATACGTACTTTACTAATTAGAAATAGGATTTATTTCAGTACACACGAAAAAAGAATAAGAACATGAATTAAACTAAAAAATCGTATGAACAATGTCGGAATTTTCTTGCACATTATGTACGCAAAATTTATGCACACGTGTTCTTAGCGTTAGGGGGTCATTGAAAATAAATCCATTATCATATGGCTCGCACTCTGAGAAAAAACTTAAAGTTGAGAGATAAGGCAACAAAGCATACATATCGATATAATGTAATGTATATCATACCGATACACCTATTATAAAAATTTAAGATTTTTCGGATAAGACACAACATTCAGGGCCCTTTCTTTTTTGGTACAGTATAATAATAGACAAAGAACGAACAGCATGTGATTATCGTCAGAATAAAACTGGATTATTAACAGGTTATACACTTAATAGTTGATCGATTTAATCTCAAGTAATTAACATTAACGTTAACATTAGTGCATTTTATAAAATTCTTTGACGAATTAATTCTCAAAAATAAACCTTCTTGGATGTAGTTATTATCGATATTATAATTATAACTATTTTATACAAAAAATTTAAAATACCTGGGTCTTTTGCATAGAAATCTCAGATTTACCGTATAAAGCGGTTTAAAAGACCCGTGTAAAACCCCCCCCCCCCCACCCTTTTTTACCAATTAACTTTGTCCGTGGAATGTAAAATACCCCCGGTCTTTTAAACCGTTTTATCCGATAGACTGCAAGGGTTGTAAAATATCCGGGATTTATAAATTTCGTACCTACACAGCAGTGTTGTTGTATGACTCCAGTTGGCGCAGCATTTTACAATTTCAATTACCAAAACTGTTGCACAGTATAATAAACTTCGCGGGTTGTTTTAACTCTGAGATAAATTTTATTACAAGAACTTGCAGTCAAACCTTTTTAAGACGACCAGTGAAATTTTGGTCGGTTTTAAGAATTATATTATTAATTAACTCACAAAATTATGTGAGATCTGGTCAGTTTAATGTGATGGTCGTCGGTGCAGACATTGCTCAGGTCAGGGGTAGCTATCCCAACGGCACAGCACTTTGTGGCTAGTGAGTCTTAAGCTAATACGTATTGTCGGATCAATCAAAAAAATATGGTATGCAGTGTTGTCAACTGGACCATACTGGACATAGTCCAATACTGCGTCGCTGGACCACTGGACTTAGCAATTTTATAAGTCCAATATGGTCCAGTTCAGTAACTTCTGGTTACTGTACATAGTAAAGTGACAATGCTGGTACAGTCAATGTGTTATGGTTTTTTTCACCGGGTTATACGGCAATACGTATTGTCGGATCAAGCAGAGAATGGTACGGGCAATAAAATGTCAGTATGGTATGGATTTTTTTACTATTCTCTGTATCTATTTCAATTCAAAAATATTAAACAATGTACAACAGTGGATAAGAACCGCTAAATTTAAATTACAAAATATATTTAAAATCGAAATTGTTCAGAAACGAGTACCCACACCATTTTAAGAACAAAAAAAGTGATGTTTATTCACAGTTTACGGTAAGTATGGCATACTTGTATGCTTTACTGATCACACTTCTTTGCTTGATCTGACAATAGCTATTAGTATAAGACCCAGTGAACATAGTTAGAAAATACAGGAAACAGATGCCTAAATCTAGCTTGAAGCACTAATTGAAAATGTCGGGGAGGCAGTTTTATATAAAAACTTAGCTCTAACCCTAACCCTAATTCGTCCAAATAAAAATTGTGTTTCTCGGAATTATAATGCATAATATTAAATATAGTTTCGGTTAGGGTTGGTTCAGGGTTAATATTATTGATGATTAAGGAATCTTAATCACGTGATCCGACACTTTTTAAGGGTAGTCCGGCTTTTATGCTATAGTGAGAATGAGATTTAGTTATTGCGAACTTTTGTCAAATTCCCGATTATAATAAAATGCCCTTGTTTATAATGATTTTCTACATGACACGAGCTTTTTGAGCATGGACTGATCCATCGTTATATCCAGTTTTGACTGTTGGCATTATAAATTTCGTATAGATTTAATAATATTTTGTGGAAGTACAATATAGCGACAGCAACTACGTATTATTATATATACAAAACTGATGACTTTTAACGGTATTGTGTGTTTTCGAATTCTACTTTCTATTTATGATAAATAATATATTGGGTTTCTAAATAATGTACGAATAATCTATTTGAAGTTGTTGAGCGTTTGTTTACCTCAAACTAATTTAAAAGCACAAATATATAACTGAATAGAAATAAATAAGACTGGAGCTGTGTAAGTGTGAACAGTCTTTTTGATTGGAACAGTTCGATCTGCTTTACTTTGGACCAACACATGCACATAAATTTAATTAATCAAATTAATTATAATACAAATACTAAAATCCTCCAGCTCCTTTACAAGTAGCTGTGTAATTTTGGAACGCGCAAAGGACATCATGACAATTTTCCCGTAATCGACACACTGTTGCCATGTCATTGTTCCATTGGCACCTGCATATGGATTTGCCGTGAGACTTGGTAAAGGATTTCTAATATCTGCAGTGGTTTGTGTTGGTTTGGTGGGAGATGGTAATGCTGCTGTTACTGGAGTCCCTTTTTCAGTTGTTGTGGCTGCATTATTACCGTTTGAAGCAGAAGATGCAGCAGCATTTGTTGGGGTTGCTGATTATTAAATTTATGTCATTAGTTAAAAATTTAGGTTGGTCGAGTATAGCATGGACGATTATAACAAACCTTTTTGTGAAGCCGATTGACTCGGTGATCCATTAGGTTGAGACGGTTTATGGTCAGCACTATTAGAATTACCACTCGACAGTGTTGGACAGTGACCTCAAAGTGACCTACTAAATGACTTTATTTTAATATTAAAATTTAGTAACCAGTGACCAAAAGTCACTTGTCAAATAGCAAATGACCTAATTTTCTCCATCACTGCCACTAGTGCTACCACTTGAAGTTCCTCCGCCAGCATTTGTTCCTGTATTTGTACCTGCAGTAGTTGTAGTACACGGAGGGGCTTAAATACAAAATTCAAAACAGTTAATATAAATAAAATGAAAATAAAACCTTTCGCGTTTCTTTGTAAATGCATACCTGTATCGCAGACAGTCGTCACCAGTACGGCTGCCAGTATAACAAACAATGCCACCACCCAAAAGCTTCGTTTTACTTTATTGTTATTATTATATTTATTATTCATTTTATGGGGTACGTGTCGTGTGTGTGTGACGGGCGAGTAAATTTTTATGTGTATGTATGCGTAGTTAAAATGTTTTGTGTTGGATGTTTTCTAGTTGTGCTAGAAGATTGGGCATCTAAAGCGGGTTTTAGATTACTGAGGTGAAGGATATTGTATGTTCAGGAGATAATAAGAAAGATGTTGTTTATGAAAATAGTCTACACACATTTAAATAAGGAATGTGTAATATATAGGCACCTTTTTTAAATAAGAGCACCGGTCGTTTTGAAGATAGGAGAAAGGAGTGAAAGCAAAAGAAATATGACGAAAGAAATGATACAACATAGATTCTCGGACTCAATATAAACATGTGAAACTTAGACATTAACTTTTCGCGTTACCAATATTCCATTTTAGGTCTTGTTTAATTCTGTTCTGGTCCGAAATTTCTGATGTTTTGATTGGATAAATCAATCTAAAAAGAACAGAATTTTTGAAGAAATTTGTACTCAGTGTTCTGAACAGGGCTCTTGTTTTCTTGCATAATTAGTCACCATGTTCACAGGTATCGTAGAACACATTGGCACCATATTGATATTGTTGAATTTGATACTACCGTTTCGGGTGGAGGAGGTTGGTGTAATTTTAGGTGAGACAAAACCTGTGTTAACAGATTGTCATATAGGCGATAGCATGTTTCGAAAATTCTGTTTCAAGAACAATAGAGTTTAAAATTCTATCAGCTCAAATTTATAAATCGCATGTAAAAGGGACATGTCTGACTAACGGAATTCGATAAATTGTCACTCAAAATCGGCCTTGCTCCTGAAACTTTACATCTAATCTTGGTAAAAATCAAACCAAACATGTGATTATTACGTATACATAATCTGATGTGTATTGATTTGAATACTAAGTGATTTGAAAATTGGAGATAAAGTAAATTTAGAACGCGCAGTTTCAGCTGTTATATGATTCAGTGGACATTTCTTGCAAGTAACTAATTAATATATATTTATAATTCTTATTCTCTCTTGATTTCAGGGTCATGTAGATTTAACAGCGAAAATTACATCCATAACCCCAAAATCTAATTCACTCTGGTTCAAATTCGCATTATCCGATCCTTCCTAGCTTCGTTGCATCATTGCAATAGACGGAACTTCGTTGACAGTATGCGAAGTAAACGATAAAGAAGCATGATTTACGATCACGTTGGTTGCACACAATCAAGCACATGTTACGATCCCGACAAAAAAGTCGAGATAAGGTAAATATCGAGGTGGACATGCTAGGTAAATATGTGGAATAGATTCTCGAACCTCTAATAAAGGGTGATGGCAATGGTGGTGGTGGATATTTGGAAAAGTACGTGATATATAGAAGATGCGTAAATCATTCATTGTATTGCTTTTAATGGAAAACTAAATTTTCATTTTTCGATTTCGCGAATTTTATTTTTTTGACATGGATCCATAAGAAATACTTTGTCCAAATCTTTGCTTCTTTAGCAACACGAAATAATCTCTGTCAAATAAAAAGTATCTTTCATGTGGAAACGATCTTCTATTGCATTCACATATTAGATTTAAATTTATATTGAAATATCCGAGAATTAAGTTAAAGACATTTATTGATGCATTCTTTGCACATGCTATCATTTATTAATATTATAAATATTAGAATACCAATTCTACATCTCAAAACTTATAATAACCATACGCTGCCAACTTCTTATTAATCTTCTTCAACTATTTATCACCTTCCTTGTCCTTGCTCGCCTTCGTCTTCAAGTTAATAATACGTTTCTTTGCAAATAATAATTTTTACTATGTTCCTTACGTTTATCCTCCAATTTCTTGACTACATCTTCACATTTCCAGCCAACTCCGCACGACAGACGTGAGATTGTGGGGGGTATTTACGACCAAAGTACACACAATGCTGCAGGAACCACCTTACGCTTCTGACGTGCATATTCTGATGGTATTCCCTCAAAGATCTTAGGACGGTCAAGAGCTGCGGCACCTCGTGATGTTTTTTGTGGGATCATTCCACGCAACGTTTTGTAAAAGTTTCGTAAAGGAAAAGGAAAACGAAAATGAATGGACCACGCGCCGGGTTACAATCATCCGTTTACGAAGGTAATTGTGGTACTTAACTATCAAAAAGAAGATTAATTATAAGAAAATAGAATTTTTATGATCAAAATCGGCCCATTAGAATTGAGTGTAATTATAGCCGAAACTCACTTTTATTTCGAAAGTAAAAACCAGAAACGTTAATTTCTTCGGCGCGCACAATCACAATTCTCTGCCCGGTGAGGATTTGTTCGGCCACAATAGATGAGAGTCGGCTGAGAAATATAAATCACAAGATCAAGCTTAAAATTTGAAAAAATTATCAAAAAAGTCACTTTTCAGCGTTTTTTTATAATTACTATCGATTTAAAAATACAGTCGTATCTCCAGCAAAAGTGTTATTGTAGAAACGCATGACTATGTAGTGTGTGATTGCATAGAGGTATGACTGTAATTAATATTTTATTTTTGTAGGAGATATGCTGATGACGGAACTCTTAATATACAAGTTAATTGTGATTCGCGAGTAATGAAAAAAGTTATATAAATTCAGGGCATATTTCATAATTTTACTCTTGTGACCAAAGTTCAGTCCCCCCGGAAAGTAATGGCCAACGGTTTTTTTATTATTTTTTTTTACATAATAATATCATTTAAAATTTTATATAAGTAAGACTTTATATCCTAGAAATGTTAATATTTAATATAATTTTTTTCTATTTTTTTAATATTAATTTAATAATTTATTTATTAAAAATTTCCAAAGAAGATTAATATTTTAAAAAATAATTGGTATTTTATGTTATTTTTTGGAATTAGCTAGATATAGATTGGGAAAACAAATTTTATTAGTTGGCAAAAACTGATTTAATAATGTAGTTTTCGAATTATTGTGCTTTGTTTAGTGGCAACCCCTAACCGAATCGTTTGTAAAAAAACCTTTAATATATCGAAAACATTATTAAGAAACTGTTTTTAGAATATTATGAAAAAGTGTTCAGCCGATTGATTTACAATTACCATAAAAATTTCAGAGAAGTAAACATTTTCTGTGATTTTTAATGTTTATTTTAACGTCAATCGGCCATTACTTTCTGGGGGGACTGTATGCAAGAAATAAATGCTATAACTTGTAAATAAGAACAAAAATAGGCACAATGAAGATGTTGTGAAATTTCTCTTCAAAAAGTATGCTATTGATTCTAAATAGGATTGTAAATACTATCGAAAGCACAAATATAGGAATAGTAACAAAAAATTCAAATAGCCATTTAATTAAAATTTTGAATTTTCATGATTACAGTTGATACAATTTGCATTGCGATGAATCGGAATGTTCAAATTTGATTATAGTGAATGTGCTAAGCAAATATCAACTTATGTATGATCTAGCAAAAATAAAAAATTAGAACACATGGAGATTTTGGAGTAATTTACAATTAAAGCATGTTTGTGATCATGGAGAAAATAAATTTAAACGATCTGAAAATATCATTTCACAATTACATTAAAGTTCATAAACGAGGTAAAAACTCAAGTGTAAGCATGTTTTGTAAAAATATATTTTATAGTTAATTATAATTATGGAATAACTAAAATGAATAATAATGACATGTATTATCTTCACAAATACGTATATGTATCTTATTTCTTCAACTACGAAAAATTGAACTGGAAAAGTCATAAACTTAAGATGGTTATGTAACAAGGGATGTTAAAGGTTCAGTCCAGTTCAATTCGGTCTTAGGACTGTAATTTTTGGACCGAACCAGACTGGACTCAGTCCCAACATCAGTGTTTTTATCATATAAACGATTCCTATTAAAAATTTAATAGATACAATCAATAAAAGAGTCCGATTAATAATTGATGGGTATTTAAAGAAGTATCAATACGTAATATCGAGAAAAGTATTGTTATTAATTATTGTGGCTTATTTTCGAGCATTACATAAAAAATATATATATATATTCGACATTCTGATTAAAAAATTATCTGCAATAAGGGACTAATTATTGAATAGAAACAAAGGATTTTGTTAATGATATAATCATATTAATAAATCACGTGTTTTAAGGATTGTATATTTTTAAGGTCCAGTCTCAGTCTCTAATAATCCTGTGCAAAAGCGGTTCAAAAATCGGTCCGGACCGAACCTACGAATAACCATTGTATACAACATCTACACATTCTATAATTCATATTGACATTTCATATTAATTATGTTCTAAACCGCTCGTTATATTATTGTCTCATTAATTTCAAAAAGATTATGATCTTAATATACAGAGTTGAATGGAATTAAACATGTCAATATGATGAAACTTCCAACAATTGAGACAATATCAAAGAAGATCACTGCACTTTTTCAGAAAAAAATGATAACCGCTCTACTTTAATAAGCTCATTAGAGATCTTGAATCAGATTGACTAATAACCCCAACCACCACCTAGATCAACCAATCAAATTCAACCATACAGTTCGAATTTTCATGGACAATTAGTCCAACAAAGAAATCTCCAAATTTAGAACCATTATTGTTTATCGACACAATACGTACGTAAGTGTTAGGTTATTAGCCAATCAGATTCTACAAATTTATCTATTGAATACATGTACATGTACATGTAGTACGAAATACAGTTCGTATATGTAGAGTGTCTGTACAAAACTACGCACATTTCCAGTTTGTCTTAAGAATTTCAGGCAAGCTTTGCTATTAAGTTTTCTTTATGCAGATATCAAGAAATATTAACAATTATTTTTTCTTTTAGCAAAATGGAAGTTGGTTTGATATTACAAATATTACCCACGGAAATTCGTCAACAAATTTTCAAGAGTCTAAATAGAGGATCTTTAGCCAATTGTCTATTTGTCAATCGACAATTTTGTCAAGAAATTGTGCCGATTCTTTGGGAAGCACCTTTTCCATACAGCCTTTGTAAATATAAAATTATTGTAGGAGTTTATGTTGGAAGTTTCTCAAAAGAAACATGGGAGTATCTGCGCTCCAACCAAATTAGTCGACCACTGACTATACGACAACCAACGTTTAATTATGCTTCGTTTGTACGTCATTATGATCCAATAGTAGTATATAACGCAGCAGGGGTTTGGTTAAATCAAGACTTGGATCGTCCGACTAAAGAACAGTCGAATAAACGCAAAGCATTGGCAATTTCCTTGTCCAGACTTCTAGTAACCGAATCGTCCTCGTTGCGTTCTTTAAGTTTTGGTTCTGAAATTGACCACGAACTCTTGAGTATGATCCTTAAAGAATGCACAGCTCAAAAGTTATTTGGAAATCTCGAGCAACTAGAAGTCTATGAACTTTCAGAACCAGAACCTACATTAGGAAAAAATTACCAGATGTTCTTTGAGAATCTGGCTAATACCTGCCGTTCGATTAAACGCATCAAATTCGAAAGTCTTTTTACATTCACAGATGTAGAACCAAATTCAGCTGAAACACTGCGACATATGATGAATAGACAAAGTGAATTACAGGGCATCCAACTAACCCATTTATCCCACACCGCGATAAAAAGTATTTGTAGCGCTCTCTATTCTTCATCAAAAAACTTGCGAGCTATTGAATTTTGCAGTGTGGATTTTGATTGTTTTAGCGCTGATAGCGTAATTCCAGGACTGAGCTCGTGTGTTAATCTGATCTATTTGGCTTTTTGTGAGAGCACAGGATTAGAACAGTCATGTTGGTTTGAAACAGCTAAAGTTTTTCAAAAATTGGAATATTTCTCAATCACCTTTTCATGTTATGAGGATCTACCACTTAAATTATTAGAGGAAATTTTAAAAGCTAGCGGCAATACTCTCCAACATCTTTGTCTAGAAACAGAGAAGTATTGTTCATGTCATTCTTGCTTTGACGAGCTATTTCCTTTAGTTATTCAGCATTCTCAAAATCTCCGGACAATCAATTGGTCCGATCTTTGTGAAAATAATTTGCCTACTTTAATGGAATTTTGTCCGAATCTTTATCATCTGAACATATATACCAAAAATTTAGACGATATATTCATTAACATTCTGGCAAGAGAACTTCGATCCACAATCAAATCACTTAGCCTAAACCCTCTTAGAATAAACACACCAATATATCAAGTATCGGATGAGGCATTGATTCACTTTCTGGAGGTTACTCATCACAGCTTAGAATACCTTTCCTTTAATTCCTTTACCAATAATGAATCTCATAAAAAGTTGGTTGAGAGTTATGGGATTAAATTAGAAATATCATCGAGGATGAATGACAGTATGTATTTATTTTCTTATTTTGTTTATTTTATATTTGATCTAATTTTACTTTTCACTTTTATTGTTTATAGGATTGTATCCAAATTACTTTTTGCTAGATATTGAATTAGCTTAGCGACTTTGAGTGTTTAATTGATTCTTTGTTGTGCATTTAATTATATCAATAAAAGAGAAACAAACATTCACAATCATCAAAACCTACTTTGATATTGTACGCTCATAAGACCATTTTCCATAAATACGTGCATGTTTAGATAATTCTGTCATCAGCAAAAGACTGCTATCTAAGTTCCACAGCGTGGTTTACTGATCATTGTAATTTCACACTTGATTCCACGCAAGCTTACAGTCTATCCCCTTATTTTCCGCACAGAAAAAATATGCTAACTAAATATACATGTATCTGTAAACTTGCATTTTTTGGATTCTTTGAATTCAGATAATGCTTTAAATTTGGCAAAGTGTTCGTGACTAGATGATATGAGCCAATATATACTGTCTCACATAAAAAAACGCATCACACCATTTATACTAATGCTCAAATTAGGGCTATTAATCGGTCCTATAGGACCGAACTGATTGACGGTTCTATGTAAAAATAGAACCGGGCCGGATCATTAACAGTCCTAGCTCAAATTGCCGACTTTGAAGTTACCGGCTCAGCGGATATAAAAAATATAATAGATATTTATTAAG